ACATCCCGCGCGTAACCGTATTATGAATGAAAATCCTGGCGGAGGAGATACTCGAAGGAGATTGATCGATCGGCAGATTATGATACCAATGGAGAGCGGATATCGATGAAGCGAATATACCGCGATGATCCTTAATTTTTCATTTCACGAGAGTGATTTACGGTAACAAGTTTCCGATGCGCCGTTAGAAACTAAAATTGACATTTTACAACGGATCGCGTATTTTTCAAGCCTCCGACTCGTCCGGTGATTACATCAATATGTCTACGTATCAGCGTATCGCTCATTTTCGTCTGGCACCCGCATTCGCCAACTCCGTGTACATATGTAAATCGCGATGTATCATGAGCGTCACATGAAATGAATGAAAAAAAAAAGGTCGTTTCGCGTTTTATGATCTGGAATTCATGTAGTTAATATTAATTGAATGATCGGATGACGCCGTTAATTGATGTACGTAATGTGCTCTGCCCTCTCCAGTCCGGACGAGATACATCGTGTGGTACAACGCAAATTACGTTACTTTTACTCTACTCGAGCGGATAATTTGCGGCGGTGCTCGCTCGCTCGCTCGCACGAACGAGAGGCGCGTCCCGTTCGCCGTTGTCGATTCCACCAATCAAAATCAAAACAGGATAATACAAAACGGACAAACGGAAGAACGTAAGCGCGTAAGCCAACAAATCGAAAATATACGGCCAATTTAAAGTTCTTTCAGTAACAATAACGTTGCAGTAACATTTCAAAAACGTGTGCTCCTCCGCTGCGCTCTGCCTCACTGGTACAAGCTCACTAGCATATGTAACCATATGTAATCATATGTAAATTCATTCACGTTCACGTTATAAAATCATTTGCGAATATTTGAAAAAAATTTGCTGACGACGTTCCGTCGCCATTAACCCTACATCCATGCAATTCAGCAAAAATTCCTAGATTTCGTAAATATTCGGTCAATAGATAAAAGTTTTCGACTTTTATGAATATTTCTCAGTGAGGCATCAAAATTGCATTGTAACGTACGATAACGACTATGAAAAAGAGCAATTCTGACGATTAAATATAAAATACAAGAACAGGAAATATATATTTTTATATATATTTTTATTATGCAAAGATTGATAGTTTGAATAGTTTTTTTTTATTTTATTGGGATTGATTTGAATCATAATATTCGTCGATAAAATGCTTTAAAGGTTTTAAAACTTTTTTAAAACGTAGAAATTTGAAAGATTTTCTAAAAGAATCGGGATTCGTTCAATTATATAAAAATGTTAAAAAGGGGAATATCAACTTTATACAGTAGTCAGAAAGAGAAAATGGCTCGCAGAATTCATAGAAATAACTGTTTATTCGGGCACGACAGGCTGGAGCGCGCCGTATCTGTGTGCTCCCTCCATATTGCCTCTTCACGCCCCAATTCGCGATTATGCAACGTTTAATCGGGGAATTAAAAAAGGAGTCTCGGAAGTGCAAATTTCTTTCCGCGGGAGTGAGCGCGCATCGAGCGAACTGCGACAATTCCAGTGGATTTCCACTCGAAGAAATTTACGATATCACATGGGGTGCGTCTCGGACGGATTAAGCGACGATCGAGAAATGTCGATCTTTCCGTTACTTCGTATACCGCTATCGCTTATGTTCCATTATTCACGTGGCTATTACTGTCATTATGTTGTATCTCACATATCATCGATGATGTGAAATTATAACGTGCAGCGACTCTCGCGATAAGGGGAAAAAAAAGAAAAACATTAAATGTCGCGGGGGTGTTAATGGCGTCGGAAGGCGCGCTCGCAATTTTACACGCGTCGATTGCTCGAGGAAGCGGAGTGAAAGGAGAGACTTTTCGCTCGATGTGACGGCGAGTGATTCTCTCTGAATATCGTTTAAAATACGATGGTACACTAGCAGCTTGCTGATACCAGAGGCGCGGCGCTCTCGAGAAGTGCCCCCGTCTTTTTAACTCACGGATATAGAGAGCAGAGGCGATATCGTCCGATATCGTACCGTGTCGCCTACCTTCTTCTCCCATTGGAGAACGTAGGGCACTGGGTGCTCACCGGGGAACTCTACGTGACAGTTGAAGACAACGCTCTCCCCGAGAATAGCCGTGATGTGCACCGCGTCCTGTTGACAGAGTCCTGAAATAAAGATTACAGTTATTATTATTATTATTAGTAACATAATAATATCTTGCGATTAAATGCGCAACAATTTTAATTATTTACATAGATATCTCTTAATTATGATACTATTGCTACAGATGATATTAAGGCGATTAAGTTACAATCAAACGAACAATGGACTCTACATCTGTAAGTGATACATTACTATAAAATTGTTTCAAATTACTATAAAACTGGCAGTAGAAAAACGAATTAGGACACTCTTGGAAAAATCGATCGAACTTTCATCTCGCGTTCGCGGAAGACGTCCGAATACCGGAAACTCATAATTCTTGCTACGAGGGAGTCTTGCTATGAGAAAGAAAACTGCGAGCGGCGGATCGTCCCCTAATACCGCTCGTGCTTGCCCGACGGGAAGGCATTAAAAGCCATTAAAGGTAAATCAGGAGCCACGGTTGTCGTCGCTCTTTTCCGCGAGCCAGATCGAGAAACCCGTTGCTCCGCACGCGGCGGAGGCGTGCGAGATTAACTTCGCATTAAGCTCCACGCGATGTCGAGTAAGATCGAATACGACCCCATTTTGTGTATTCGAGATATACCGGCCGAGCAAAGATCCCTTCGGTCCCGCGTGTTGCACGATGATAACGATGACTACTTCGCCTGCCAATCTATCCCGCGCGATGTCGACGGATAGTTAACATACTTCGATACATTCTCGCTAGTCTTATACCCTGTTTACGATTGGCGCGACGGGGAGAGATATCGCTATAAATTATGTCGGGGAACGTCGGCCGGGAATGGAAAAAGTAGCCCGCACACCGTGACGTGGTGAAACAACGATGGTAAACACGTCAGCGAGGATAATACGGGCGAGCCTGAAGAAGAAACTCCCTTGGGATAATTAATGTTCTTGGCGCAAACGACGGACGCGACGGATTAAAGGGAGCCACTATTGGATAAATTGATATTTGAAATTTAGAACGCTTTCAGTTTTCTCGATATGGAAAGTTTCTATATCCTACCGAGTATTACTTTCGCTGTTACTTCACCGTGCACCGTTTACTTTCCAACCAG